TCTTTCACTTTTGTTTTAGAGGATATGAAATTTGCTGCTGACGACTCTGATAGAAATAATACAGATGTTACAATTATAATACTAGTGTTTTATTATTAACTCTATAAGTATAAATGCATCGCAAAATTGTAGTGTTTCGTGTTGATTTCAAGATGTTTACAACAAATTCTTTCACTTTTGTTTTAGAGATTATGAAATTTGCTGCTGACGACTCTGATAGAAATAATACAGATTTTACAATTATAATACTAGTGTTTTATTATTAACTCTATAAATATAAATGCGTCGCAAAATTGTAGTGTTTCGTGTTGATTTCAAGATGTTTACAACAAATTCTTTCACTTTTGTTTTAGAGATTATGAAATTTGCTGCTAACTCTATAAATATAAATGCATCGCAAAATTGTAGTGTTTCGTGTTGATTTCAAGATGTTTACAACAAAATCTTTCACTTAAGTGTAAAATTGTAGTGTTTCGTGTTGATTTTAAGATATTTACAACAAATTCTTTCACTTTTGTTTTAGAGATTATGAAATTTGCTGCTAACTCTATAAATATAACTCCATCGCAAAATTGTAGTGTTTCGTGTTGAATTCAAGATGTTTACAACAAATTCTTTCACTTTTGTTTTAGAGGATATGAAATTTGCTGCTGAGATCTCTGATAGAAATAATACAGATTTTACAATTATAATACTAGTGTTTTATTATTAACTCTATAAATATAAATGTGTCGCAAAATTGTAGTGTTTCGTGTTGTTTCAAGATGTTTACAACAAATTCTTTCACTTTTGTTTTAGAGGATATGAAATTTGCTGCTGACGACTCTGATAGAAATAATACAGATTTTACAATTATAATACAATTATAATAGTGTTTTATTATTAACTCTATAAATATAAATGCGTCGCAAAATTGTAGTGTTTCGTGTTGATTTCAAGATGTTTACAACAAATTCTTTCACTTTTGTTTTAGAGGATATGAAATTTGCTGCTGAGATCTCTGATAGAAATAATACAGATTTTACAATTATAATACTAGTGTTTTATTATTAACTCTATAAATATAAATGTGTCGCAAAATTGTAGTGTTTCGTGTTGTTTCAAGATGTTTACAACAAATTCTTTCACTTTTGTTTTAGAGGTTATGAAATTTGCTGCTGACGAGTCTGATAGAAATAATACAGATTTTACAATTATAATACTAGTGTTTTATTATTAACTCTATAAATCTAAATGCGTCGCAAAATTGTAGTGTTTCATGATGATTTCAAGATGTTTACATGAAATTTTTTCACTTTTGTTTTAGATGTTATGAAATTTGCTGCTAACTTTATAATCATATTTATCGAGTTAGCAGCAAATTTCATAACCTCTAAAACAAAAGTGAAATAAATTGTTGTCACTTTTGTTTTAAAGGTTATGAAACTTGCTGCTGACGACTCTGATAGAAATAATACAGATTTTACAATTATAATACTAGTGTTTTATTATTAACTCTATAAATATAAATGCGTCGCAAAATTGTAGTGTTTCGTGTTGATTTCAAGATGTTTACAACAAAATCTTTCACTTTTGTTTTAGAGGTTATGAAATTTGCTGCAGTCGACTATGATAGAAATAATAGAGATTTTACAATTATAATACAACTTAGTGTTTTATTATTAACTCTATAAATATAAATGCGTCGCAAAATTGTAGTGTTTCATGTTGATTTCAAGATGTTTATAACAAATTCTTTCACTTTTGTTTTAGAGATTATGAAATTTGCTGCTAACTCTATAAATATAAATGCATCGCAAAATTGTAGTGTTTCGTGTTGATTTCAAGATGTTTACAACAAATTCTTTCACTTTTGTTTTAGAGGTTATGAAGTTTGCTGCTGACGACTCTGATAGAAATAATACAGATTTTACAATTATAATACAACTTAGTGTTTTATTATTAACTCTATAAATATAAATGCGTCGCAAAATTGTAGTGTTTCGTGTTGATTTCAAGATGTTTACAACAAATTCTTTCACTTTTGTTTTAGAGATTATGAAATTTGCTGCTAACTCTACAAATATAAATGCATCGCAAAATTGTAGTGTTTCGTGTTGATTTCAAGATGTTTACATGAAATTTTTTCACTTTTGTTTTAGATGTTATGAAATTTGCCTGCTAACTTTATAATCATATTTATCGAGTTAGCAGCAAATTTCATAACATCTAAAACAAAAGTGAAATAAATTGTTGTCACTTTTGTTTTAAAGGTTATGAAACTTGCTGCTGACGACTCTGATAGAAATAATACAGATTTTACATTATAATACTAGTGTTTTATTATTAACTCTATAATATAAAATGCGTCGCAAAATTGTAGTGTTTCGTGTTGATTTCAAGATGTTTACAACAAAATCTTTCACTTTTGTTTTAGAGGTTATGAAATTTGCTGCAGTCGACTATGATAGAAATAATAGAGATTTTACAATTTAATATAATGTTTTATTAAACTCTATAAATAGTGTTTTATTATTAACTCTATAAATATAAATGCGTCGCAAAATTGTAGTGTTTCATGTTGATTTCAAGATGTTTACAACAAATTCTTTCACTTTTGTTTTAGAGATTATGAAATTTGCTGCTAACTCTATAAATATAAATGCATCGCAAAATTGTAGTGTTTCGTGTTGATTTCAAGATGTTTACAACAAATTCTTTCACTTTTGTTTTAGAGGTTATGAAGTTTGCTGCTGACGACTCTGATAGAAATAATACAGATTTTACAATTATAATACAACTTAGTGTTTTATTATTAACTCTATAAATATAAATGCGTCGCAAAATTGTAGTGTTTCGTGTTGATTTCAAGATGTTTACAACAAATTCTTTCACTTTTGTTTTAGAGATTATGAAATTTGCTGCTAACTCTACAAATATAAATGCATCGCAAAATTGTAGTGTTTCGTGTTGATTTCAAGATGTTTACAACAAATTCTTTCACTTTTGTTTTAGAGGTTATGAAGTTTGCTGCTGACGACTCTGATAGAAATAATACAGATTTTACAATTATAATACTAGTGTTTTATTATTAACTCTATAAATATATAAATGCGTCGCAAAATTGTAGTGTTTCGTGTTGATTTCAAGATGTTTACAACAAATTCTTTCACTTTTGTTTTAGAGATTATGAAATTTGCTGCTAACTCTATAAATATAAATGCATGGCAAAATTGTAGTGTTTCGTGTTGATTTCAAGATGTTTACAACAAAATCTTTCACTTAAGTGTAAAATTGTAGTGTTTCGTGTTGATTTTAAGATATTTACAACAAATTCTTTCACTTTTGTTATAGAGATTATGAAATTTGCTGCTAACTCTATAAATATAAATGCATCGCAAAATTGTAGTGTTTCGTGTTGATTTCAAGATGTTTACAACAAATTTTTTAACTTTTGTTTTAGAGATTATGAAATTTGCTGCTGACGACTCTGATAGAAATAATACAGATTTTACAATTATAATACTAGTGTTTTATTATTATCTCTATAAATATAAATGCGTCGCAAAATTGTAGTGTTTCGTGTTGATTTCAAGATGTTTACAACAAATTGTTTCACTTTTGTTTTAGATGTTATGAAATTTGCTGCTAACTCTATAAATATAAATGCGTCGCAAAATTGTAGTGTTTCGTGTTGATTTCAAGATGTTTACAACAAATTTTTTCACTTTTGTTTTAGATGTTATGAAATTTGCTGCTAACTCTATAAATATAAATGCTTCGAAAAATTGTAGTGTTTCGTGTTGATTTCAAGATGTTTACAACAAATTTTTTCACTTTTGTTTTAGGTTATGAAATTTGCTGCTAACTCTATAAAATAAATGCGTCGAAAAATTGTAGTGTTTCGTGTTGATTTCAAGATGTTTACAACAATTTATTTCACTTTTGTTTAGAGGTTATGAAATTTGCTGCTAACTCGATGAATTTGA